CAAATTAACAAAACTCCAGCTTCCAACTTATAAGTCAAGTACGACTTTAGTCAGTTGGATAATGCACACTGACTCCGAGCTTCAAATTTGGCAGGGTACAAGTTAGACACTTGATGCTTGCAGTCTCAAATAATTATTTACGCATAATTAAACATAAAAAATAATTTCAAGACCACTGATGATGTGTATTGGGCAATACTCGAAACAGCTGTATGGTCAGCCAAAAATTCAGTTAATTAATAAATAATGAAAAAATTTTTGTTGTTGTAATTCATTACTGTTCAAAATATACCCCTCTACTAAAACAATAGTTTCAACAAAAAAAATTGGTTTCTTTCACCACAATTAACTTTAAGAATCAAAACTATTTTATTGTTAATAATTTTTTGTTAAAAGTGACGCGTCTTATGATGAAAAGTAACTATTTAAAAGTAAGAAGGGTTCGAATAGAAATTAAAAGACAACAACAAAAAGCTAAACTATTTTCATTAGCTATAAACTCACTACATTCATCATTACAAAACTGGCAAATGACTGATGGCTCTCGGTCCAAAAATACATAAGAGACAGAACCCTGAAGCTATATGCGAAAACTGACAGGCTGCCCTACTTAGCACCATCTAATCTCAGAGTAATCACTAACCGCACGGGACGGTACGCAGATCTTAGATCAGTCATTGAATAATCACAAAGCTTATGAGGAATACACAAATTAGTCAGTGAGGTGGGTGGGACTCTGCAGAAACTCCCCAGCTATCAAAGAGTAAAAGTACCCAGATGCATTAACTTAAAAAAGGCTCAACACACGACATAAGACTTAAGTCATGTTTAGTACATAAAAACGTAATAGCAGAAATAAAGTATCTTGAAATTATTTAAAACTAAAAAATTATACAATTATCAATATGCTACTATTACACAGGTATCTACATTCATCAGATATCTAAATAAAAATATAATAAAAATAAAGGATTCAAAAGAAAATTGGAAATTATTCGAAAAGACCAATTTACAACGAAACGGAAACAGCAGTATGGCAAGCAACAAAATTTTCCCGTGGAAATGGCATTTAAATAACAATCATTCAATGGAAACCTATGAACTGAAATCTTAAATAGAGTAAATAGATAAAAGATACGAAATGCAAGTACACAAAGCAAACTATTAAGAAGCAAATGGAGGTGCTGTTTGAACTGCACCTTACCAAGTCCATACTGAATGTTAATTGCAACCACCATGAATATTCACCAACAAAAGCAATAGCAGTAGCAGTTCAGTTCAATTCTATACCAGTTCCGTTTATATGGCAAGAATACCAAAAATTTTAAAAAAATAATCATTTAAAAACTAACAGCAAAACAAAGTCAGCCAGCAGGCAACACATGTTCTATTTTATGTTCTTAACCAAAATGCAAGGATTCGTTTACAATCGTTGCACAATTCCATACCAATTCTATTGCATTCTGCATGGATTTTTATTTTTCATGTTTAGAAATTCACTCTTAGTGGAGTACAATTCGCACAGTGCCACATCTGCACCAACAACATATGACGTTGCAAATTATTTAGTCTTTCGTCCAAACCATACCACACCACACCACAACACACCCAACACATCCAACACACCCTAGCCCAACTAAACTGAACTGAACTACAGACTACTAAGTACAGTAGAATCCCAGAATCCAGCTAAGCGAAGGTAAGTAAATTGGCGAATTGTGAAGCTGTTAGCAATTCATTTTCCAAGTACGAATCCCCATGAATTGTGAACAAGTGCTTGTTGATGGCTTCACTCCTTTCAGGCAAGCAGGGTTTGGGTATGTTTATGTGTTTCTGTGTTTGCAATATGTTGGATACTTCGAATAAAACTTCATGTTGAATTGGATTTAAGATAAATAATTGCAGAAAGCAGCCAGCACCTTTCTGAAGTGTCGGCAAAAAATATTTTCTCACTATATCTGCAGAATTAAGAGTTTCGAATTAGTAATTGAATTATTTAATTAAATCTGAAGTTAGCGAACAGAATTTAATATTTTTATTACACACACTTTTTATTTGAAATGTAATCTATCAAAATGAAACATATTTTCTAAGCTTTTAGGTATTAAGCATAAGGAAAAAATATTTAAAAATGCATTCCTGAATAGTATATGAGCAGAAAAATGAAGGACGAACTTTTACGGATTCAGAATAGGATAGGGAAAAGAAAAAGAAAAAGAAGTTCGCAGTAAAGCGGATCACTGCGACCTTAATAACTTTATTGATCTGTGCTCACTAACCCATATTCTTCTTTAAGAGAACAGCTTAGAGCAATATACTAGGAACTAATAAAAACTTGTTTAGATATCATTGTTATAATATAAAACTCCACCTTACAAGACTCAATATACTTACGGATGAAAACTGTAGAATTTGCGAAGAGAATGAGGAGTCAGCCACACATGTGCTGTTAGAATGCCATGCGCTAGTGCACATACGGAATAGGCTCGTCGGAATGTGTATTCCTACGGAAGAGGCAATAAAAATCTGTAAAGTAGGTTCTATACTACTTTTAATTGACGCAACAGGATTTAGAGACCTACTCTAAACCCACAAGAGCGCACAATAGAGCCGACGGTCGCAGTACCACATCCCCTAACAATAATAATAATATAATCGTTTTTGAATAAAAAGACTGATTACATTTTTATATGAAAACATATCATTCTTTGTATTTTAGAAACAAACCATTTACTATAGAATAGAACTAAAACTGTTAATGTATAATACGGATGACAGTCATCGAAAATGACTGAGTAAATACCTTGTAGGCTACGACCACACGATAGCACGGTACTTGTGTAATAAAACCAGGGCAAACAGGATCTGGGTTCAAATTTCAATAAGGACTAGTTATTGTTGATGTTGTAACCAAATGCCTACACGAAAGAAGACATTTGACAAGACATTGCATATTAAGAAATGTTACTGAAAATAATATGGAGAAGAGAAGAAGCAAGCATGAAAGGTAGAGCATAAGAATATTGACTAAAGTCTGGTCTTAACACATGTTTTCAAAAATGTTTAATAGCTGTCTCAGTAATAGACCTACGAGCACTCCCAATATTGTTGAAAATATCTACTACTAAATCTACATTAAGTTTTGACTCTATTAGATATCAGATTCTATTACGTGACATAAGAGATTATAATTGCTAAAATTGATAAATAATGACATATGGCAAAATAGGTACAATTTTTATTTTTATTCCTAAGAAAGCATATTGGTTCGATAATACTACTCATCAATTTCAACATGAATTCAAAAACATATCACTTATCTGAGGTACATTAAAAACAATAATGATGAGAATGACAATGACTATAAGAACTGCAATATAATACTTTCTTAAATCTTTAAAGATAATTTACATTGAAGACAACCATCATACTTATATACTACTACAATCTACTTTCCTACTTTAATCGGTGTCACTTTCAGATTAAGTGAAATTTATGAACAAATATACATTAATGGTATAATATAAAATTAAAATTAACAAAATATTTTAGAATTTAAGATCATTTCAATAAAATTTAAGTTCTAAATAAGTAATATTAATTCAAACATATTTTATTATGTACTCTAATAGACAGTAAAGCAATAGATCCATGATATCTACTACTTCATAAAACGGTTTTGCACCTGATATATAAAATAAATACATGCCAACTTTTAAGTACTGCGTACTACGAAGTACAATAAAGCAAGGAATTGTGCTATATCATAAAGCAAGGGAGATCGCAAAATAAAATCATATTGTACTATCCACAATCCGCTCTTATTCCCAAGAAATCCTCTTTCACAATACCTCTTTCACACTTTAGCCAGTCATACCCTTACCAACGTATTCGTTTTTGTAGTTCCTTACATGTTATCCGCCATTTATTTCTCCCCGGGCAAAACAAATAAAGAAATGTGCAAGTGTCACTGACTGGGCATCAATGTATTAGAATATATATTATCATACTACTACCGCTAAGCCTCAAGTCGGTATCTCTTTCACAATACTCACAGTACATCGATGATATAGATTATGGTTTCTCAAACTACTACCGCTAAAGCACTAGCCAGTATTTCTTAACAATACTCACTGAGAATCGAAAGTATAGATAATACCTTCTCGTACTACTATCGCTTAACTACAAGACGGTATATCTCTCTTGCCATCACTGATTAACTTTTCATTAAACTTATTTAGCTTTAGTTTCTTAAATATCAAAATGGTGTGCAAAATCTTTGTTTGAATAAAATAATAATAAATGAAAAAAAGGTGATGTGAAAAAAAATAAGAGCTTGTAGATGAATTTTTATTATTGGTTTTATTATTATATAAAGGTCTATAGAGAGGTTTCAAAAAGTAGTGAACTTCAGCAACAAAAATTTTTTTATATTATTTTAATTAATTGAATTTTTGACTGGCAATACAGCTGTTTAAAGTATTGCCAAATACCCATATAAGTGATCTTGGAATTATTTCTTGTATTTAATTATTCGTAAATAATTTTTCGAGACTGCAAGTACCAAAGGTTGAACTCGTGCCCTGCCAAATTTGAAGCTCAGAGTCAGTGTTCAATAACTAACTGACTTAAATTGAATACATAAATATCCTTTAGAAGTCAACAATTCTCAGTCAGGGCGGAGTATTATTACAACTTTAGGTAATTAAACTAATATTTAATTAAAATATTATATTATAATATAAATATAACAATATGTTAACAGTCAAGGCGTAAAGAGGGGTTTTGAAGATACCTCGAGTTAATAAAGAGTAAAAGTGCTCAAGTTCACTGACTCAAATAGCTTCAACATAATAATAAATATAATATATTATAATATAAATGTAATATACTATAATATAAATATAATATATTATAATATAAATATAATATATTTTATAATATGTTAAAAATATTATTTTATAAAATGAAATAATTAAAAAAGTGAACTCACAACTACTCTAAATCCAACATTTTAACTTATCTAATGTACTAACCTGTGCTCCAGTTAAAGTTGCCATATCCAAAATGATGTTGGCTTTCAAATCCTTGTTAGCATAGCAAACGCCATCAGCTAATACTAAACGCCCTTCAGCATCAGTGTTGTTTATTTCAACAGTGCGACCGGAATACAATGTATGTATATCATCAGGACTAAAAAGCAAATAACAAAAATATTATTTATTTACAAAACCAATTATTAAAAGTATAAACATACCGTGTTGCGTTTGGACCAACAGAGTTTTCTGCCAAACAGAATACTGCATGCAAATTCTCTTTGAAATCGTTTTTAACAGCAGCATAAAAAGCGCCTAGAATAGCAGCTGCACCACCGCAATCCCGTTTCATGCCAGGCATTTGTGTTCTAGCCTTAATGCTAAGACCGCCGGTATCATAAACGATACCCTTACCCACCAAGGCGATAGTTTCATGTGCGCCTTGCGGTTCATGAGATAATATAACTAATGCGGGTGGTACAGCGGCTGCCTTACCAACACCGTAAATGCCACCAAATCCTTGTTCACGTAATTCTTCACCGCGTATAATTTTCGGTTTAATTGATAACTTTGAAGCGACGTTTTCAACTTCCTTTACAAAATGACTAACATTCATTTCATTGCAAGGTGTATCAACAATACGTGCTGTTAATCGTATACCATAAGCTGCACTTTCTATGCATGCAATGTCCTCTTTACTTAGTGGCTTTTGTGATAGTTGACCATCTTTCTCAATGACAAGAAATTCAATATTTACAATGGACTTATCAGCCTGATCGTCATTGGAATCACCTATGTGATGTTTTGCACCTAAGCTACCAGTCTTACGCGTAAACAATGGAAAAGCACGTACCACAGCACAAGCAGCTGGGAATATATCATTGCGTTCACAAACTATAACAATGCTTTCATCATTAACATTTAAAACATTAGCTTTCACCAAAGCTGTGATGGCATGAGCACGTGATGGGGTATTGTGACGTGAACATTTGATAGGTAATGCAGCTACAGTTGCTACATCCAAATACATTGAACACTTATCAGTAGGTGATGGATGTAAGGCAGATATGGCATCCTTGAAAACATCCTCTGAGACACGTGGATTTAATTTAACAGCTAAATCACTGAATTTCAAAAGATTTAAATGACGCAATTGACCGATAATCAAAACTGGTCTGGAACAAGGATCGCCTTCTGTTAATGTTGGATTGAAGCGAAATTCGGTTGCCATCTGTTTGAGAATAAATATTTATTATTAATGAATTTCACAAAAAACTGATTTAAATTTAATTGTATTTATATATGAAATATCAATAACAATAAAATATTTTTTAAACTAACTTAAGAAGTCATGTATTAACATAATTTACATTGACCATATACAATAATTATTTTTTAAGAAATTATTATTTTAAAAATAATACATTTTTATCTGTTATCTCATTAGATTATCTAAAATTAGATAATATTTGTGAAAACAGCATTGCAGCACTCACATGTGGTGGTTTCTTCCTTCCCATTTTTCCTGAATTCTAAAAACTTTGAGTTCTCTACAAAATGCACTTGACTTTCACTGACCACTGCGTTTGAAATCAACTTTTGAACTGAATTGAGGATTTGCGTAAATTTATAAAGTGCTTTAAAAATTGATAAGAAATTATGACTTATTACTGCAATAAAATAATTGATTTTTTTTCCGTGAAATTCTAGTACTTTTACAAAGCCCACATAAGTTTCAGTTTATTGCAATCTCTTATCTCTTAAATTTAGAAATTTAAATCTGTATGTGGTAGAGAGATTTTTTTCAATTTATCTTATCGCTTAGTGAACAATTTGTTTTAATAAAAAATTAATATTATACCATTTAATATTTATGTTATTATATATTTGATTCTTGTTTTTAATATAATAATATCTTTAAGCACGTGTATTAATCTACAAACATACAGACATACATAACAGAATTATAAATAAGTATAATTGGAGCTTATCAGGGATGACAAATTCTTTTTGTACCGATTGACCGATAACAGTTGTTTAAACTTGCTATTTTATGAATCATTAATTAATAAAAACAGTAATAAAACAAATTTAATCTAACAAAAACCGTACAAAGTTTACCAGAACAAAGTTTGGGATTGAATGAAACTTGAATATAAAGGTATTTATAGAATATGTAAACATAAGAGACTGTCTTGAATATATTCATAAAAATATTCCAGTGAAAAATACAAAAAACAATAAAAATATCAACAGAAGATAGCAGAGATTAAGTTTCATTCCAGGTATTTATCTGCTATCATATGTACACTATTCTGAATGAGCGTTTTTACTATCTTAAGCCATTATTCCGGAAGGTATCTACAATCTAATTTTTATAAGTAAAAATTGCAATATTTAACAATACTTCAAACAGCTGTAAAAATTCAATTTATTGAAATAATATAAAAATAATTTTTGTTCCTATAGTTCACTACTTTTCGAAACGGCTCTACCGGCTCTATATTTAACACCTAAATCAAGATTTAATATATCAACAAATGAAGTAATTTTTACCTTGAAAACATATACCTGGATCAAATGTTTAAGAAGTTACTCAATTTGAATGTTACTTGAGCAGCTTCAAACAAATATATCAATGGTCTACAACCTCAATATATTCGTCAAGTATTCATCACTACAGTTGCTAATAAAGTTAGAGCATAAGTGCTAACCCTTTCAATATGACTACAGAGATCGAAATACGGGTTCCCAATACCACAGATTTTACCCGATAATTTCATTGAAAATAGCCATGTCGGTTAACTTAAAAAAATCATTTAAAAATTACTGTAAATGAATATATTATGACATGAAATACAAATTATTCATACATTCACTTTTAACTATTTGTAGCGTTAATAAACCTTGTTATATACATAGGCCCCGATTAATTTCCAAAAATATTTTGATTTTTACCTACTTGTTGAAGGAGAATTATCTTTTAACTCATTAAATATCGACAGAACCTTATTCTGAATTAAAATTTAGTACAATGACATTCTTTTTTGATTCTGTGTCACACCTTTTCCACAGTTTTTTATCTTGTCTGCATCACGATAACAAATGGTTCTTACAGTAGTTAGAGCTAAACCCAAAATTCTTCCAATGTCAGCAGGTCTATCTCTAATTTTCGAATGTTTGTTTTTACTTTTAAAATTTCTTTTTACTTTATATTTTATAAAGCAAAAATTTACTTTTTACTTTACCACACATATTTAAACTGACATCTTTTAACTAAAAACTTAAAATATGTAAATCCACTTTTAAAAAATATGAGCTACAAGTAATAGAAATGGATCAGGGCGACGCAAATTAGGGTATTGGTGTATCCAATATATCCAATGTATCCAATCCAGCACATTTTCCTGATAGAATATAATTTTTTTAAGATAGTACTTTTAAGAGTGTTGAAATCAAACAATTTCAAAACTCTATATTTGTTTTATTTTTGAATACATGCTTTCTATTCTTAAAACTTTGTGTATACCTTCATTTTTATCATACCATTTTCATAGTATTTACTATACATAAGAAAGCGTTATGGTTCATGAAGTTTTTATCGAAAATATAATTCCTTTGATGTTGCTTGCTTTCTAGATTCTGGCGCACTACAGGTACAATACACAAAAACAATACTATTGAAAAACTTTCGCATCAGATCGGTAAAATTGGAAGGCATTAGGTGTGAAATACTGAACTGCTAATTAATATAATGCTAAGAAGTTATAGCGAATATATATAAACTTTAATGCTGTGAATTTGTTGATAAGGTTAATGATGCAATTCTATATTAATGTTATTATTGTGGTAAAGAGCAGTTAGTCGTCTGTATGGATGAATCATTCCAAGATGGGATCCGGCTGCACTACTATGATGATTTTTATAATTCAAACCGACGAAAACAATCAAAATTAAAAACACATATGACATTACTAATTTAAATGTATTTAAATGTATGTCCCGTAACCACTCGTCCAAGTACCGTTCGACACCTCCAAAAAGAACTTCACAAGCAGATCCCAGCGGGTTACAACAACAGCAACTTGAGAACACAACCAGAATTTATATTAACATATTCTTTTGGTTTTCATTAAACTTTTACAATCAGTTTGACAAATTTTAATGTTTTAATTGTTTTATTGCTAAAACATAAATTGACATTAATTAAAACTGACTACAGAATGTGACGCTCGCGGCATCTAATAATAGAAATAAATTATTGATAAGTGCCACTTTATATATTTAAACTAAACGAGGTGTAGATAACCAGTCTTAGTGCAAATCTACACTCAACACTCAAAATTAGTAATAATAATTAAGCAATAAAATTTGAAAACACAATTCTTTAATAATTTGTTGACATCAGAGAATATAAACAAAATGACTTTCCTTAAATTAATTACGCTTATTTATGCGTAATTTCTATAACCTTGAAAATTAAGTTTAATTAATTATGGGTCAAGAAACGATAAATAAGCAGAGAATTTATGAATGAGAGTAAGACGACAATCTTTTTCCGTGAGTTCAAGAACCTCAAACGCTGTGAAATGGAGCACCCCAGTGGCCGCATTTTTAATCATTATCATGAGCCGAAATAGTGCTCCGCTATTTTTAGAAATTGTGAGAATTAATCATGTTAAAATTTTTTCTTTATTCTCAAAAATAAAAAGATCAACAACGGCTGGAGCGAAGAGAAATTACTAAAAATTTATTAAGTGACCGAATGATTATATGCAGCACTGAATGCGTGTATATATATACGCTTTTTTCATTGCAAAAAATAAATTCGCAAATATATATACACAAATACATTATTTAAATTTCTGCAAATATATAGAATTTAATATTATTTTTATGTATTTATTTTAATTTTACCTTAATATCAGTGTACCGACGAGATATCACTTTGTAAAAATATTTTGCAAATGTATTCTGTGATGTTTTGTTTAAGAATCTTGTAATTAACATTAAATGCAAGCCGACTACAAATTTTATTCTATAATATGCAACTTCATTATGCAACGATCTTAACAATATTAAACATATTTTGTTAAAAACAATTTTAGCCAGTCACTTAGTTTCACTTGGCAGACAAAGCAAGAATACAAATACAAATTTGTTGTTAGTGATGCCGGTTTTTTTATTGCCACGCAGCGTTGTATTTTTGCAAATTATTTGCAATTTATAAGATTCAGACACATTTATTCATGTTTTACTAGGTAAAATTTAATTATTTTATGAATTTATTATATTTTTATTACTTCTGCGTATAATGAACGCATATAAGATTATTCTAACAAGAAAATAATGTAAACAATTTTTAGCACAAATGTTGATTTTTGTCTGCAGAGCGCGCTATGAAGTTGTCAAAAATTACGCTACAGTCAGCAGTAATGACATTGCATATAATATGTGTCAAACCATATAACACCCGCCATATCAATGCTGCTATTTAGTTTAAGTAGACTATATGCAATTTCAATAAAAAAAAAAATACTATATTACAAAAACAATTTTTATAAACATAAAGAAATTTTAGTATTCATGATATTAATTAAAATAAAAATAGAATAAAACTTATTATTAAAATAATATAATTAATATACCATCACAATGAAATCGTTATGTATGCAACAAAGCATGTCATTTTAATACAATTTTATAAAATAATTCTAATGTTATTTAAAAATTGTAAATGTATACTTATAAAATGTACCCACTGCTTACTTGGCAATAAGTGTGACTTACTAAGTAAATTTCATTAACCATACAAAGTGCAACCGTGCTTTCAAACTTACCTACTTAAAAATAAAGCAATGAAAATTAGACCAAAAATGTCGAATTAGACCAAAAATGTAAGAAACAGATAAAACTTTGGTAATTGAATATAAAACTATATTGACACGATGAAACAATATTTATCAGCAAACATTAATTTAAACCATGGTTACAAGGTCATATAAAATAAAATTTATATTAGTCGACATTAGTTTGTATAAGCGCTGTTTCATGATAATATAGTTTTTTCTTAAAACTTTAATAAATATGCCCTTGATATAAACAAATAGGCGTTTATGATACAATACAACAACTACTAGCAAAGTCTCAGACACTATTTAAATTTCAAACCGGTTTTTTTTTTCATTTCTACCTACTTAAGTACGCCTAGTATTTGTAGAAATTTTGAAAATCCGCCTTAACTATTTTATATACAACATATAATACTGTATTGGTAAATATCAGTATAAAAATAAAATGTTTCTTAGAAATGATTAAGCAGTTCTTAAGAAAAACAAAGAGAATTGTTAAATTTTTCTATCACTGCCAAAATCAAAAGATTTTATGAAACAATTCATTAGTATACATTGGATAGACAGACAGAAGCATGTTATTCCATTAAATTAGTTTACATTAAATATCATAATTACAAAATCAAAGTGATTAAAACTATTGTGTTAATATTTGCATTAAAAACTATAATTATAAAAAAATAATTTTTGGCATTGTATACTTAAGATTAAAACAAACTTTTTTTGTGTTATTTAAAGTGTTTTAATTAGTTAAAACTATCGGTTTTTGTTTTATTTTTAATACTTTATTTTAGTTGCAATCATAAGTGCGTGTTATTAAACATATATTGTTATATAGTGAATAATATTTTTTTGAGTGTATTTATTGTGAATTTTTTAGTCATACGCACTTGCATCGCTGGAAGCAAATATTTGTAAGCTTGTTGTTTTACATTAAAATAATATCATTTATTATAAAATATTTATATATAAATATCAAGATATTGTATTTATTTATAAATATTACAATTATTTGATTTGTTTCTTTTATAGTTTTGTGTTAATGTTGAATAAATGTTTATTATAGACAAAAATGGATGTTGATTAATTTGCTGTGTTTAAATATTGTTTTAATTATATTAAATGCAATAATTATGCTTTATATATAATATTAAAATCTTTTTATGTGAATTTTACATAGTATTTTGCTTTTTTTAACATTATTAAATATACTATAATAATCATAAAAAATTCGAATTTTCAGCGCTAAACACTGGTGTAGGAAGATGAGAGAACTGTTGGTAAGCATATTTTTTTATTAATTATTTATTTATTATAATATATATTTTAAAATATATTTTATATATATTTCTTTCAGTTGTTACATATAATATTTCAAAATGTTTAGATTACAAGATTTTACTAAATGCTTTGATATATTTTTGTACAATAAATACACTTATATGAGGCGAAAAAACATAAACAAATTAAAACTAAAAACTTAAAACTGATTACGCTGGCAATGCTGAGTGGCGCAGGTGTCAGATTATCTGGTTGGTTCCATAACCAATGCTGCCGTCGCACATATGCTGGGCGAGCAAGAATTTTAGCAAAAATGATTTTTATACGGCAAGCGAATTCAGTTTGTTTCGGGGTAGGTTTGCCAACGGTTGTGCTGCAATTTCACTTCATCCTACAAAGAAAAACTAGAAAGTAAGAGTGCGTGTGTGTGTGTTTGTAACGAGACGAGAACACGAACAAAATGTATCACTTAAAGAATTTGGCTAAACAGGCCGCTGTACGGCAACAGGAAGTGGCCACTTTGGTGAAAGCCTTACCCACAATTGCCTTACAAACACGCGGTTATGCTGAACATCAAATTCCCGATCGTCTTAAAGAAGTACCAACCGCAAAAGATCCACGTTTCTTCGACATGGTAGAGTATTTCTTCCATCGTGGCTGTCAAATTGCCGAAACCCGTCTTATCGATGACATGAAAGGAAAACTTACATTGGAGGAAAAGAAAAAGAAGGTTAAGGGTATCCTTATGCTTATGCAACCATGCGACCATATCATTGAAATTGCCTTCCCACTGAGACGTGACTCCGGTGACTACGAAATGATTACTGGCTACCGTGCACAACACAGCACACATCGTGTGCCAACCAAAGGAGGTAAGTGTGTCATGCCTGGTTCTGGCCTAAGGCGAATGTCTATTTATTATGGAAAATTGAAAAATCAATTTTTTTTTATTATAATTCATAATTTATTTAAAACAATAAAAGTATTAGAATGTTTATTATACGAATTTGTTTATAAAAAAAAATATATATTTTTTCCAAATTTATTGAACATTTTTTTTTGGTTTACTTGTACAATGACGTATGTGATTATGTAATGCATTTCCACTGTGGAAAATATCTAAAAATATTTTTTTTTATTTTTTCTTTTTATTCAGCAATTAGTAATTACTTGCATAATACAATAAATGCTTAGGAATTAGTTTTTCTATTCATTTTTTTTTTGTATTCATATACATTTATAAATCTGTATTTAAAATGTTTCTATTCTAATACTTAGCAGTTCCAAAACCTTTCAAGTGACAATTCAATAAATTTCTGTGGCCTTGTATTGTCTTTAAGAAAATGAAATTTAAAATAATTTTCCAAATATTTCACAGCGAAAAGGTATTTTTCACCATTCTTCTACGCCTCGCTCGCATTAACGCCCCCTTTTCTGTCACTGTGGCAATATTTTGCAAATAAAAAATAAATGTATATTTTTCTTTTTTTTTTTTTTTGAAATAAAATTTTGTTTATTTTCACTTTTTTAATTTTTTTTTTTAAATAAAAAATATTATGTGTTTTTGTTTATCAAAATATTTTTAGCAACTAATTTCTGTTAATTAAAAACAATTTTTTTTTTTGGCTTGGCATTTGTTGATGTACTTCCCCCTTTTTTTAATCTAATTTATTCCGTTTCCTTTGAATAATGAGTGCTAATTAAAAATAATGAAAAATGATATATGACACTATATAGTTCCCATATATGCCATATACATTTT